GGGACAAAGCTAAATGAATCATGATATTAAATTAAGGCATGTCCTGTGTCATGGTGGAGGCTCATTTGATTAGCTCTGTGGGAACAAACATCATTGCTCTGGTTGAGAGGTGAGGGAGTAGAGGGAATCATGTTTTGTCATCTGTGTGCTCCAGTGGGTGATAATTGGAAAGTAGTTACCAGGGCCCCCCCCCCCAGAAAACATACAGCTTCCAGCAACAATGCAGTTAAAGACAATTCAAAACATAAATTGCAATATAGTCAATATTTGCTAAAATAGTGTGTTTGGGTGTGACTCTGAAATGCCAGAAACAGAGTTGCCGTAGTGTTGATAACTCAAAAAAGAAGACCACTAGGGAAGTTCATGACCTTTAAGATGTAGGAAACTAAGATGGATTTTGCTTTGATTCTTTATCATTAAAACACAAAACACTCACATTCAATTTCATTGAAGTTTTAGAAGGGGAAAAACATTCATTGTTTACTTCCCAGTGAACAGCAGCGAAATCAAGGTGTAACCAGCTGCCCATAGTTGAGCCTTCACTGTACTTGAGTAGTTAATTGAGAGGTAAAGCCTAGGCCAAGGTCTCTCTGTGTATATTGTTGCTTGTTGGGACAGAAATGCAGTGTCTGCCACTCTGCCAATCCCTACAGCACCTGTGGAGCCGCTGCTGAGGTGGCCACTGCCTTCCAAAGTTGGATGGTCTTTGCACTGGTGTTAGTAGTCACTGATTTCCAGCAGAGCTCAGCCAAACTAGGAGAGTGGCAACACTGGCTGATCTCTAAAGCCCTTTCCCTTCCCAGACTCTCCTTCTCTTGTCGTCTGCACCGTGCCTTAGAACCTGTCTCCATTTCTCATAAACACCCGTATAGCCCAGTGGGACCAAGGTGTGGGCCAAGTGATTTCTCCCAAGATAATTTACATGTCAAACCTAAGATTATGAGCTTGGAGCTCTGATACCTTGGCCTACTGGACTCTTTCCTTTGTTTGGTTTGATGGGGGTTTGTTTTGTTGTTTTTATTCTTTTTAATCTTTTTAGACAGGGTTTCAATATATGAGTATATGTAGCCCATGGTAGACTTGAACCTTGAGATGATCTTCCTCCCACGGCATCCCACGGCATCCCACGTGCTGGAATTCAAGGTGTATGCCTCTGTGTTAGTCAGGGTTCTATAGAAAGGACAGAACCGTCAAGCTGTGTGCTAGTTAGTTTTTGTCAATGTCACACAAGCCTAGGCACACCTATGAAGAGGGATGCTCAACTAGGGACTTGCCTCCATCAGATTGGCCTGTGGGCTTGTCTATCAGGCATTTCATTGATTGCTCATTGCTACAGGAGGACCCCGCCCACCTGAGCCACCAGTGCCGTCCCTGGGCAGGTGGGCAGGCCTAGGCTGTGAAGGAAAGGTAAGGTGAGCAGTCCCATAAGCAATGTTCTGCAGTCTCTGCCTCCACCCCCCCCCCCAGGGTCCTGTCTCAGCTGTCCCCAGTAAGAGATTGCTGATGTGGAAGTATAAGCTGAAACATAACCTTCTTAGCAAGGCAGTGCTGACCTGTGTTTTATCACGGCGACATAGAAGCTAAGTAGGATAAGCTGGCCACCACCATACCACAGCCCCTACCACAGCCCCCATCACAGCCACCAGGCGTGGCTGACGGGCGTGGCTAGTGTATTGTTTCAGATGCAGTGTCCTCTCTGCTTTTGCTGCCTGCCACATTCATCTCCTCCTCCACACTGTTTTTTATTTCCTGTTAATGTCTTATTATCTACTTGTAGTGATCTATTGTTTGTAATCTAGCAAAAAAAAAAGCTTGCTGAAGATTAGAATGCAGAGCTAAGCCACTAGTTAATCACACACACACACGCACACACACACACATACACTAAGCCACTAGTTAATCACACACACACACACACACACACAAAGCCACTAGTTAATCACACACCTGGTCAAGGGTTAAGTCCCTAGTTAGCCACACACACACACACACACACACACACACACACACACACACACACACACACACACTAAGCCACTAGTTAATCACACACACACACACACTAAGCCACTAGTTAATCACACACACACACACACACACACACACACACTAAGCCACTAGTTAATCACACACCTGGTCAAGGGCTAAGTCATTAGTTAGCCACACACACACACACACACACACACACTAAGCCACTAGTTAATCACACACACACACACACACACACACACTAAGCCACTAGTTAATCACACACCTGGTCAAGGGCTAAGTCATTAGTTAGACACACACACACACACACACACACACACACTAAGCCACTAGTTAATCACACACCTGGTCAAGGGCTAAGTCCCTAGTTAGCCACACACACACACACACACACACACACACTAAGCCACTAGTTAATCACACACCTGGTCAAGGGCTAAGTCATTAGTTAGCCACACACACACACACACACACACACACACACTAAGCCACTAGTTAATCACACACCTGGTCAAGGGCTAAGTCCCTAGTTAGCCACACACACACACACACACACACACACACACACACACACACTAAGCCACTAGTTAATCACACACCTGGTCAAGGGCTAAGTCCCTAGTTAGCCACACACACACACACACACACTAAGCCACTAGTTAATCACACACCTGGTCAAGGGCTAAGTCATTAGTTAGCCACACACACACACACACACTAAGCTACTAGTTAGTCACATACCTAAGTCACTAGTTAGCCATAGAGGACAGGCAGTGGTGGCCACCCCTTTAATCCCAGCACTTAGGAGACAGAGGCAGATGGATCTCTGTGAGTTCAAGGCCACTCTGGGCTACATGAGAGTGAATCAATAGTCTAAAAGAAAAACAGTTCAGGGCTTCAGTCCCAGCACTAAAGGGAATACATGACAGGAGCTCAGTGCAGGCTGGATATAGTGAGCCTGAGGATTCGTGGAGACAGGATCAGCCCTTTCAGCCCAAGGCAGAGGTAAGAGCTAGTGGCTGGCTGCTTTGCTTCTCTGGTCTTCAGTCAAGGTTCATTTGTTAGACTGCAAACAATAAGTCACCACATCTCCTTGCTCATCCCTTTCCTTACTGCCCCCCGGGCTGTTTCTTCCTCCTCCACTTTCTTTATCCCTGGTCCTCCATTTACCCAGTGCCCTCTCTATCACATTTAGTTTATGATTGTTCACTCCCCCCACCCCCAAGCCTTTAGTGAAAATAGGTGTGTGACCCTTCCAGGGCCTTTGGAGCCCTATACCAGAGACTGACCTCACCTGTCTCTCTAAGGAGCCCCTTAAGATAAACATAAGGGCGTCAGTTGTGGAGTAGTCTCTCTCCCTCTCCTGGGCTCTCTTTTTTTCTTCTTACTGGGAAGAGGGTAAAATATTGCTGATCCAAAGGCTTATTTTTATCAGGCCACCTCTGGCTGTGATGTAACCATAGGAAGTGGATATCCTAAGACATGGATGGTGGCTTCATTTCCATGGCTCTCTGACAAAACACTGAGAAATCTGAGGTCGTCACACCAGGGATTTGAACTACAAAGAAAAGCAGGGGCCCAGCAGCTGTGGCTGAGCCCAAGGAGTCTTGGCTAGAGTGGACCAGAATGGGGATGAGTCAGGACTGCTTGGGTTCAGCTCCATTGCCTGCTAGCTGTGGCCTAGCGACTTTACTTGCCAACCTTGGGAGAGGAACTCTGCGTGCCTTACTTTCACTGTCTGTAGAATGGGATGATAAATACCTTTTCTAATATTGGGGTAGAGCCAGTGAGACAGTGCTCAGTGGGGAGCAGATATGTGAGCAGTGTGTATCTCAGGAAAGGATAGCAAGAAGGGATGCTGGGCTGTGGAGACAGATACTCAATCAAGAGATCACCACATGAATGTCCAGCAGGGGAGCAATGTGGGTGATCTCAGGGTTAGAGAGGCAGAGACAGAGAATGAGTTAATGAGCCTCAGGCTAGTGAGAGACCCTGTCTCTGAAAAACAAGGTGGGCAGCTCCTGAGAAACATCCAGTGTTCATCTCTGACTCACACACACACACACACACACACTCACACACACACATACACACACACTCACAATGTTGATAAAATGTAAAGCTTGCAGCCCTCGGGTTAGTTTCAGCTAACACTCATCCAGATGAATGAATGATTAGATATTATTACTTATTTTAAAGAAATTTTATTCGTTCAGGTTCAGTCACTTGCTGCCAAACCTCACAACCGAATTATAATCTGCCAGCCCCACTTGGTGGAAAGAGAGTCCCCCAAAACACTGGTTAGACTTAGCAACTTTCCCCTAGCTGTTCATTCAGAACTATGTCCTCTTGAGTTTCCTGCCAGTCTCTTAATTTGAAAACTGATCATCTTCCACACAGACCCTTTGAAGGATTGTCCACCACAGTGAGTCTCGGGTGAGGAAGATGGGAAATGGCCATTCACTGTTGACTAGTCACAGAGGTAGAGGGGAGAAAATTCTGCCAGCCCTTCTAGGCCGTCCACTGTGGCCCTTGAGGTGGCAGATGGCCTTCCCTACATTAGGCCACAGTCGACGAAGAGAGTTTGACTCCAGGGGCAGGAGCTCGTGGTAAATGTCCTGGCTGGGAGCAGGTGTGAACCTGAGAGGGTGGGTGTCTCTTCTTGAGATCGCCCCCAGCCTCCTATGCCTGTGTATATCAGCTGCCTCAACCACGTCAGCATGCTGTTAAACCACGCAAGAGAAGGTTGCTTTTATGAGATTGACTCTAAGATCTTTGGAACTATCCAAGTGGACCCTGGCAAGGGGGAGAGAGCTCCTTGCCTTCTTCCAGGTCCTCTCTTCCTCTCAGGCACATGGATGATGAAATTTAGAAAAGTGTTACAGTTTGCTAGAAGTTCCAGCTTAGTAAGCATGTCTACATGGCACATCTGCAGAAGTACGTTTGGCCACTCCTCCCCTCCCTCCCTCCCCTTTCCCGCCTCACACCCCACTGAGGACTCAGCCTGGGGCGGAGGTGGCAGCTCCCACCCGCCTGCCTTTCTGCCCACTCAGCCTGCTGTGACCTGCTACAGAGGCTTGCAGCTTCTGGCTTGAACGGCTAAGTGCTTGCTCACTCTCCCTAAGCAGCAAGATGGGCCTGCTGGTATGGCCTCCCTGGAAAAAAAGCAGAAATAAATCAAACACCAGCTCCTACTTAAGATCTGATGAAATTCTCCATTTCCTCTCCAAATTAAATTCCTCCTGCAGGAAGGGAGCAGCTCCTAGGAGTCACAAAGGCCCTCCTTCCTTCTCTGCTGGAAGTGTGTTTTAAATTAATGGACACAACACTCTATTTTTCTTAACCTTTAGTTTTTCTGTGCATTGGTATTTTGTGTGCATGCATGTCTGTGTGAGGGTGTCAGAAGCCCTGGAACTGGAGTCACAGACAGGTGTGAGCTGCCGTGTGGGTGCCGGGAACTGAACCTGGGTCCTCTGGTAGAGCAGCTGCTGAGCCATCTCTCCAGCCACGTGGACACAACATTCTAATCTGACTGGGTAGGTCGTGTTAAGGGATGGTCTAAGAGACCATTCTCAGGCCGGGGTAAGCATCAGGCATCTGGTGCCCTTGGACTCTGTGGAGGAGTGTCCGCTACCATGCTGGTGGTCTCTCTGCTGAGGCTCTGAACATCCCAGGTCTGCCTGTCCACCCCACCCCCACACGCCCCATGTACAGCAGAGAGAACGTGGCCTAGAATTCCAGAGTGGCTGTTACTTTGAGATTTAAAACATCAATCCATCTCATTTGGAAAAACAGTAAATTCAGTGACAAAACAAATAGAAAAAACACCTTCGTTTTTAGTGTGAAGATGTGAGCAGTGTGTTTGTTCTCCCCATGTCCTGATGGTAAATCAGCAGCCTGGCGTTTGTAAAGATAGCTGACCTCTCTTCCAGGGTGTAAGAGAGCAGCCCTGTTTTCCAAGGGCTTTGTCAGAAGGGAAGCCTGAGCCAGTGGATTTGAGCTGAGAACTTGGGACTTGGCTGTGCACCTGGGAGTGGGTCTTGCCCAGCAAGGTCACCATAGCCTAGACATTCTGAAAGCTCCTCCGTTGTGGGGGTGCCGTCCATGCTGACAGGGGACATTAGCTGTTGCTCCTCAAAGAGAGCTGAGGTGTATTGTTTTCTTTACTAGCTGCTGAGGAAAGCAGAGGTCTAAAAAGTCTGCTTACCCTGAAAAAATCTGGCAGTTGAGTCAGGAAGACGGGAGGAACTTCTCCCTGAAGGAATGTCCTGGCCATCCTTTATGTCCAAGTTTGTTTTAACACCCTGAGAAAGATCCTCCAACCCCACCCGGTAGAGCAGTTCTCAACCTGTGGGTCCTGACCCTGTTAGGTATTGAACAACCCTTTCACAGGGGTCACCTAAGAGAAAACACAGATATTACAATTTGTAACAGCAGCAATATTACAGTTATGAAGTAGCAAAAAAGTAACTTATGGTCAGGGGTCGCCACAGCATGAAGAACTATAGAGTAAAGGGTTGCAGCTTTAGGAAGGTTGAAAATGACTATTCTAACAGGTGAAACTAATGCAGGGCAGAGATAGCCACTGGAAGCTAGGGAGTCAGGACCCCACGAGGACATTGGTTTCCAGGGAGAGGCCTCTAGTGATCACAGGATCATTGTAACAAGCTGGACACCCTAACTTCTGCTTCCTCCAAGCTGTCAGGAGATGACACATTTCCTTCTCCCTCAAGGACAGTAGGAAATTGTTTACTGTTAGCTGGGAAGAAAGGGTTGAGGGAAGGAAATGGGAGCTTGTCTTGGATTCCTCTACATCTTCCCCAAGCCCATCCCAGAGGTAGGAAGGGAAATCTGGTGGAGATGATTGTTTGAGGAAGAAAAACTGAAGGATGGACAATGAAACTCCTTTGCCATAGGCCACCCTTACGAACCCCTCTTGCCTTAGCCACTCAAATGGGCCTTGTTTGACTGGGCCTCCAAAGGTCCAAAGCAGTGCACCCCATAAAGAGGCAGTCCGCCTGCAAGCCCACTCACCCCCTTTTGAACCTCCTGGCTTGAGCCAGGAGCAGCTGTCTAGTGTCTGCCCACATGGCCATGGCTGTCCCTCTGGCCAGTGGACCCTTTCCAGGCAGACTCATCTTTGGGCCTGCTCATGCAGTCTGAAGTTACTCTGTTTTGTTTTAGCTACAGGGTGCGCTGCTGCCAGCAGTATGTCTGGAATGTTATTTACTCTTGCATTTCTGTGGTTTTCTGTGTAGCATCGCACTTGGCAGAGCCGGGGTCATTGATTTGAGAATTCCGGGTTGTGCCGTTTTTCTCTCTTGGTAAGGTAAAGGGGAGGCCGGGCCCCTGTGCGTTGCAGGTTCCCTCCTTGCCTTCCTCCTTACATTTTTGTCTGAACTAGTAATCTGCTCAATCCCTGGTGCCTGTTGCACCGCACCCCTTTGTCCTCAGTGCCTCAACTCTGCTTTTAATATGTGGGGTTTCTGTGGGCTTTCCGGAAAGCCTGGCAGATGCTTTTTCATTTGCGTGCCTACCCTGTTATTACTTCACATGAAAGCTGTCTATTTTGGCAGTCCTGAGTCCCGCGATTGCAATTTAGCTCTCTGAGCTGAATGGGTGATATTGTGTAAGGGAAATATAGGTGGGGTTTTTCTCTCTAATGGTGGCTGTGGGGGTGGGCCAGAAATCTGCACGCCACCGTCTTGGCTTGTGCGGAGCTGACATGATGGCAAACAAACGGCTTTTGAAAGAAGGAACTGGTGTGTGTAGTTCCTTACTTTGAAAGTTCTCACAACTCACTCGCTTTAATCCGTGGGTTTGTTTTTAAAGAGCACACTCTGCTTTAGGAAGAACACAAATGAGCCCTAAGTGCTGGAGGTGGGAGAAGCCAAGCGAGGAGTCTGTTTGTCTCTCCCTCCTGACAGCTGCCTCCTCCCCCTTCACCTATGCAGTTTTAATCATGGTGTTTGGAGTTACAGAAGAAGCTATGGAAAATGAGATTAGATGGCTCCCCCACCTGTCGCCGGGCCCCCAGGGCTGCTTGCACCCCTGGGAGGGATAGTGTCCCTCCTTCACTCTCATGATTCTCTGGTCACATGAGTCCCTAAGGGCCGGCAGCTCGCACGTAGAGTCTTTGTTTTGTAGGCACAGGGCAGTCTCTGGACTGCTCGGGAGTCGCCCCCCCCCAGGACACCTGTTTGGCTGTTGACTCACAGTTGGCCCCAGTGTGACATGGAAGGTTCGAGGTTCTATTCTTTTCCGCTCTTCCTGGCCTTCCGCGTGACTCCCCGATTTGCCTGTGAGCTGCTGGGATTTTTGGCCGGACATTCTTCTTTGATCACTCTCCTGACAGCATGGGCTTCACATTCTCACACCTGTTCTTCTTTTACAGTCCAGATTTCATAGTAAACGTTTCCATTGCCTTGTAATTTTTTTCAGTATAAAACTTAGTGCAGGTTACTTATTACAGGTAATAGGAGCCCGATGACGAAGACAACCACTGGCAGAAACAGCGACTTGGACAGCTGCCAGTAACGTAAACTGCCGCTTGATTTAGGTCTAAAAGCATCGAAGCCACAGCTATCCATCATGACCTGGCACGCACACAGTAATAACAGACTCCGAGGGCTAAGAAAGCCGCCCCGCCGAGTAGCCACGGGGACAGGCACTAACAGGACTCTTCATGTTTTCTATCCCATTATCCGCAGCCCACACATCATCTTCCTCTCTCAGAGCATCTTAAGAGGCACGAGCCATCTCTGTGGGACCCGTCTCTGCCACGAAATTGCTCACGCCTGGTTCGGCCTAGCCATCGGGGCCCGAGACTGGACAGAGGAGTGGCTCAGCGAAGGGTTCGCCACTCACTTGGAAGATGTATTTTGGGCTGAAGCACAGCAGGTGGGCTCAAAGAATTTCCCTCCCCAGAACCAGGTTCCGTTTTCATTTACCCCATTCACTCAATAGTTACATGCTGAGTGCACGAGGCACTAGGTTTGCTGGATAATTAACTGTACGAAGACTGCTCTCTCCAAGCACACAATCTTGAGACGGAGGGAAGGGATAAACACAAGAGGCAGCAATGTGATAAACACCCTGAGAGCCCCACACCGGGTGGAGGGGACGGCCTTAGCCAGGGAGTTAGTTAGAGAAGACCTGCACTGCATCATACACATGTACTATGTCATGGGAACATTAGCTATGGATGCTTGGTTTTGTCTTGAGACAGGGTCATTGTAGGTCTTTGTACCGCCAGCTGGCCTGGAGGTATCTGTGTAACCAGGCTGAACTGGAACTTGTGTGAGTACTCTTCCCTGGCTGTGTTTTTTTTTTTAATAATCAGATTTACATATTAATAAGTGTTGGGGTTGTGGCTCATGTATATTAATAAGTGCTTTGGGAATCCCAGCACTTGTGAGGCTGAGGCAGGAAGATGGACAGGAGTTTGAGGTCAGTCTAGTCTATATTGAATTCCAGGCCGTCCAGTTCTAGATAGTAAGGCTCTGCCCCAACCTCCTTCCCTAAAAAAAGAATGGAAATCTCTGGGTGAAGGACAAAGCATTCAGTGCTGTGGATCAGGTAACATGACTAAGGGGTACCTGCCACTCAGCTGCAGTCAGTTATCATGTTTAAAGAGAGGTTCGCTGTGGCTGGGACAAAGAACTCAGGATTTCTGTATCCTTACGTGTCACTCTTTCACTAATTCAGAAAAGATGCTATAAACCTGGCATAATGACTTGTATCCCCAGCATATGAGGGCTCTATCAAGAGTATTGCCACAGCTTTGAGGCCACTCTGGGCAATGGAGTGAGTTCCAGACTGGCCTCAGCTTGACTGACACCCTGTCATAGAACAAACACAAAAAGCAACTTGTTTTTATCAAGCGTGAAAATCAGGCTGAGAATGTAGCTCACTGGCTGCTGCCTCTGCTTAGCCGACAGGTCTGGGTTCAACCCCTAGGGTGAAAAGCACGGACCCAACACTTATACCTTGACCATCAGTTCCCCTGAGCATGAGACTGCAAAGCTGTGTCCCGCTTCCTCTCTACCTCTAATCCCAGGGTCACTGCCTTTCTACATGGTCCCCCACCCTTGCTCTCTTACCATTTTCCTAAAACTCCCAAGTTCGTTCACCCTGTTTGACTCTGTTCAAGAACAGTCTTCCTGGCGAAATCTCTGTTTCTGTGGGCCAGATTGAGGTCCCACCCCTGAAGCCCAAACTGATTCACACCTCAAGCTTCCCATCACAGCTCTCCTGGCCTCTGTGTGCTTTCCTTATTCTCACTACAGAGCCATGTCATCACACAGTGGGGCTACATCTCACTTGTCCCTCCGTCCTCTTCCCACATGGAGCCATCAGGTACAAAAACACACCCTGCTCCCCAGAAGCTGCCCAGGTGATTAGAAGAGAGTGGGCTCTGAGCTGGGTCGGGTTTGAGTCCTATCTCTGGCTCACTAGCTTCCTGAGTGCAGGCAGGCTCTATAGCTTTCTCGACCTCTCAGTTTCCCCCTTGGGGCCTGGGTCTAGAAGACTCAAGTTCACAAAGTGGATGAGATGATGTGTGAGTGAGCTTAACACGTCCTAGACACATGGAAGCTGTGTGTGACGTGCCTGTTCTCTTCCATCAGCATTCTGCGGGGGTAGAGATCAGTGTGCCCTGTCTTCATCTCTCCCTCAGCTCGTTCCCCTCTTTAGATGTGCAGATTGGCAGCTCCTGAGTTCATTCCAGCCACCCTATAGCGTCTCTAACTTCATTTTGAAAGAGGGAACTCCTCCTTTACCATGCGTCCTGCCTGTGCTTGGGTCCTTCTCTGTCCTGAGCGTGTTCCTACCAAGTGAGAGAAGCAGGCAGGGCTGCATGTCTCAGCTGCCTGGGTACCTTCCGAGTCCTTTCTGTGTTCCACCTGTGGGGCCAAAAGGTGGAGGCTAGGAGAAGCACTCAACGGAAGGGGAGAGACAGCCTGGAACAGAGCAAATGAGCACTAGGTGCTATGTTCATTCAGAGGTGGGTGAGGCCAGAAAGCCCCGTGGAGGAAGGGCCTGCCGCTGTGACTTTAGGGAAAGCATACCGGGCTCTCTCCACCATTCCTGTCCCCGTAACCTGCCATAAGGGTCACCTCCCATCACCTCTCCCAGTGTAAGCAGTAACTTCAACATTCAAGAACGCCAAGGCCCCTCAGGCAAACAACTTTTTTAGAGTCCCCCATAGAGCTTGGGAAGGTTTCTGGAGAAGGTCCATCACTGTGACCCTTTGTCCTCCAAAGGCCAGCCTGATAAATACCTCTTTCAGGTCTTCCTGCAGGAGAGGGCCACATGAGGGCCAAGAGCGGTAACGCTGTCTGGGCTGCAGAAGCTAGAGAATGCAGTGGCCCTGAGGAGGCGTGTGAGCCCAAAAGCTCAGCAAAGAGAGCTGTACAGAGTCACGGAGTGAGGAGGAAAAAGCTGCACCCCCCCAACTCTCCCCCCCCATCAGTAGCCAAGGGAAGAAGTGAGGAACCTGCCAGGTTGGAGTCACATGACCTTCATTGACCTGATAAGTCTATGCTCCTCCCACACCTCTGCAAATCTGCCTGGAATGCCACAGTCCTGCTCCAGAGGGATGGCTTGAATAACAGCTCAAGAGGCTGACAGGATCCCGGGACCAACAGAATTGATCTTCCGGGGCGGCCTCTTCTCCTGGTGGCCTGATAGCTGTCTCCTCACTCTAGTCTCACGTGATCATTCTTCCATACCTGAGAGGGAGACAAAGGTCCAGTGTCTTCCTCTTTGTAAGACCACAGCCCGGAAGGTTCAGGGTCTCCTCTGAAAGCTTTGTTAAAGCGTGATCACCCTTTGGAAGGTCTTGTCCCCAGATGTACTCACGTTAAGCTCACTCTTCAATGAGCATGTCTTGTGGTGCAGTCTACTGACCTCTGACCCTCTCTGCCACTCTACCTTCCTACCTTGGTTGTCTGATCCCAGCCCATCCATACCCCTTACCATTATCTAAGAATATGACACTCTTTCCAAACCACTGGTGCCCTCTCACTCCTGAAGTCTCTGCCCCTGCAAACTCGTGCAGGGCATCACTACCTGCCCTGGGAAGTCTTCTGGTCCCTCATCTCTCCTGCTGACAAGGAGCTCCGTGGTCTTTCTTGAGCTGCAGGTTGCCCCCAGTCTGATATTGGTGCCCCCACATACCACTCTTCATGATAAGGCAGTCTTCCTTAATGACCCAGGACCTGCAGAGAGATTTGGTGAATGCATTATCAGAGACCAGTAACTTCTGAAAATGTATGCAGATCCCTCCCTGCAGGGTACTCCACTGCCTGCCTCCTTTTTATGGAGAACCCAACCATGTGACAGCAGCCAGTTCTGACTCTGTGGGGCAGTGTGATGGCCTCGACTGCCTCCAAATTGAGTCCAGACAGTATACTTTTTTTCTGGATCTATGCAAACAGAGTCATCTGGATTACATTAGCAGGCTCCACTATAAACAGCCCTTAAGAAAATCAAAGGTCCGGGGGGAAAAATAAGAGGGAAGTGGAGGGGCCTTTCCCCTCCCCGTTCAGAGACGCAAGGCCCAGAAGGAAGGCTGGTTAGAATCAGAGCAGAAATGGCCTGTGGGGAAGCCCCCTTTTCAGGTGTGTGTTCCGAACCCAGAGTGAGTTCCCGGGCCGGGGACCCCCGCAGTCAGGAGTCAGGGCTGCCCGTGTCCACCAGCACAAGGGCTTTGCAGGGCAGCCTTGCTACCCCTTTGAAGAGCTCAGAGCATCATCCAGCCCTCTTGTGCTGGAGAACACAGGGAAGGAGGGCAGGCCCAGTGTCCCCCCCCCGTCCCCCCCCCCCAGGGAACAAAGTTAAGTCCCTTGCTGAGCAAAGCCTGACCAACACAACCTCTGCCTATGTGTTTGTGTGTCTGCCCCACATAGCTGCCCCCACACGAGGCCCTGGAGCAGCAAGAGCTGAGGGCTTGCCTGCGCTGGCGTCGCCTGCAGGATGAGCTGCGGAACTCCCCAGAGGAAATGCAGGTGTTGAGGTAAGGTGCCAACGTTTCCCACCTCCTCCTCCCTCCCCAGGCCGCCTTATGGGTACAAATCCTTGCTGGCTGACTAAATCTACTGTTTCCATTAAAATCCAGCAGGGCTTAGGTTCCTCACCTTCCCAGGGACGTGGTTGCTATGTTCTCAGTCTTCCAGGGTGTGGGTTTTGATTCTCCTGGTGTCTCTATTCAAGGGGAAAAAAATAACATGAGGGACTACATTCTTGGTTTGAAGTCCTAATAGTTACTTTATGTGGTGACTGGACATGAGGAAGGTTAGGGTTCAGCAGTTTGGCAGACAGTAACCCTTTAAAGCCAAAGAGGGGGAGCTCTGTAGGAAAGTATTGATTGCTTTGCATTTAGCAGTAACAGATGTGCATGTCAATGGGGCCTTTTGTTCCGTTTTTTTGCCCAGCAGCAAAGCCACTGCTGCTCTCTGCAGTCTCTGCTCCTGGGTGTTGTTTTCCAGAGTGCACATGGCACTTGGATTACTTCTTGCCATTTTTTGTTTTTGTTTTTTTTCCAGTTCCATCCTTGCTTCTTTGGTGCCCTGGTGCTATATAAACCCTTATCTGAGGCCTCTAGTCTAGGCCCCAGGAGCACCAAGGTTGTTATGACAACAGAAGCTTCCCTCCAGCCCCTGTTGAGGAGAATCAAGTATTAGGAAGGGTGGCCCAGCTAGGAATTAACCCTTTAGCATGCCATTGGACATGGCATCCTGATCCCGATGGGCTACCTTATCCCTTATCAGAGGCCCTTATCAGAGGCCTGCCTGCCTTGGGCACTCCTGCTGTCCATGGCTTCTAAATAAGCACCCTCCCCATCCCACCTCCCTGCACTGGGCCTGAACCATGCCGGGAGGCAAAAGCCAGAGCAGAAACAGACCAAGTCTGGTAGACCCAAGGGAGCAAGACTGGCTAGTGCTTTTGTGCAGCCCTGCCCCGGCCATTCCCGGTTCCCTGCCTGCACTCTTAACTGTGCCCCCCACCCCCAGGGTGATGCGTCCATTGTTTAGGAGAGAAAACCAGAGCACTGATGAAACATAGCCAGCCAGGAGCCAGAGCCCTGCCATTCAGCCAAGGCCACTGTGCCTGAGTGTTCCCTCAGCCAAACTCTGGTGAGCCAGCCAGCCTGGTCGCTCCTGTAGTGTGGACACGGCGCCTGCTCTCAAAGAGCTTACACTCAGCAGGGACAGTGTCACATGTGCAAACCTGTTACAGACCAGACGGTAAGCAGTAATGCAGGAGGCCCCATCCACAACTTCCCGACTAACTGGAGGGCATCAAGACTGAGCTAGACATGTGCTCAGCTTGGCAGAGTGGGAAGCACAAAGGCTTTGGAAAGGCTGGAAAGAGCCTTGTTGAGCCTTGGGAGCAGAAATGGCGGAGCCATGAGTCAGGAGAGGCTTTGACCATGTTCGTCAGAAGCTAACCAGTCTTAGCATGCAAGAATCCCGAGCTGGATGGTGTTCCCTGTGTGGGCAGAGGACAGAGAGCAGAGGTACAGTGCAGAGGGAGGTCCTGGTGGAGCAGTGACCCGGTGGACAAGGCCAGTGAGAGTACCCAGAATGACCGGGACTTTGGGTAGATGGGGATGACATTTATCTAACTGGAAGAACAGGTATTCAATAAAGACTCTGGTTTTGTTTACACCGACTTTGAGACGCTGAGTAGATGGGTAGCCAGTGAAGCTTGTAGACGGGAAGAGCATTCAGCCTGAGCAGTACTCAAGCCAGCACCGAGGAAGAAGAAAGAAAAGTTGTCAGATGATTCAGCAAAGGATCCTGGGAAATTGCTGTGTATGTGGAGGAAACCGGGGTGTCCAGGTCGTAGGAGAAAGGGAAGAAGGCGAGAGCAGCTAGTGTGGATGTCACTGGGAAACATGGCCTTAGGGAGAACTGTGTGAAGGGTGCCAGTGGCCTTGGATTCCGTGTTTGTTTATGTGTGGTGGAGAGGTGTGGAGGCCATGCCATGTGCAGACTGGCCATGCTAGCTAGATCAGGAAGCGTCACACTAAAGGCAAGCTGCATGAACTGTGAATCCTTCACCCCAAACTCAGTTTCTCAAACTAAAAGATCCTCCCTATTCCCCATGCGTAAGTCTCTTGGTGGGTCTGGTTCTGCATGGGGTGCCCTTTGTGTGTGGAAGGACATCAGCTTCATCTGGATGAGATATGTCCCCAGCTCAAGATGAGTTGCACTGCATCCCCAGAAGCCACTGACTTCTCACCCCTGTCCTCTGTGGAGCTGTGGTCAGCCCAGTTGCAGGGAGTGAAGACTTTCCCACAGTGAGAGGAGCTGGGAGCATTTTTGGATGTCTGAACTAGAAGGTTTATTGTAGCTTTTATTTACTTTCCTTTGTCTTAATGTTCAGAAACTGTCTTGGCCTAAATTTAGGCTGACTGAACGCAATGCTTCTGAAGGACCCGCTGCAGATAGACTCATCAGACTCATCAGCTGCATTGCATTATTGGGTTCAACTTACTGCTGGAGCTTTCACCCTAAAATGACATGCATAAAATGTGTTCTAAGATCATGTCTTAGTATGCAAATGACCCTGAGAAAGAACTCCTTCAAAACTATGCAGTGATCATAGACAGTGCCACGCCCTCCCACCCCCCACCGCGTCAATGTCAGGATGCTCCACCATCTTGAAACATGGACCAAGAGCCATGCGAGCCTCAGAGACAAAATGTGTGCAGCACATGGCTGTGGATCTCTGTTGTGCTGTCACAGCCCCACCCTCGATGGCATTTAAAAAAAGCTTCAGGCATCTTGAAGTCAGAAGGTCATGGGTTAAAGTGCTGTCCTGTGTATAGGTTGCACTGGCCACCTCATCAAAGAAAATACCATTTTGCTAGTTATAGGTAGTAGAGGTGTTGTAAAGCAAGAAGAGACAAACCGGAAATTTGAGACTTCATTATGTCACAACTGTACGCGCGCACACCCGTGCCACAGTGTGTGTGCCACTGTGATATATCTGCAACTTTTTTGTAATGTCATTTGGAATTTTGAGTTTCACTAAACTGCCCTGACTTGTCCCTGAGCTGTGATTCTCCTCCCACACTTCCAAAACCCTGGGGTTACCCATGTGTACCACCCTGCCTGGCTGTTTGAGCTTCTAAACTCCCAGCCCTGACCCACGCATCTTACCCTGTGCGTTTTACGTTGACCATTGTTTGATCTCATCAAATGAGTCTTCAGCCTTCTTCACCAAGAATTTTGTTTGGGTTCCAGCTGTTTCCCGTGTGTTCCTTCCTGGCCAGGGTGCCTCTAAGTGGGGCAACTACAGCTCTGGAAGCATGGTCACTTACTCTGGTTTGCAAATATTAGGGGTCACATCACTAAATCCATGCTCGTGCACTGGTCACGGCAGTCAAGGCTCCTTGTCCCTGTTGAGACACCATTGGCCGACTTAGGCTTACTCTCACCTGTCTGCTAACCCTAGACGGAATCGCCAACAGAAATCCGCTATGTGTGTATGTGTGTGTGTGTGTGTGTGTGTGTGTGTGTGTGTTTCATTCCAGCAGTACAGCACTAGCCAGATGCTAGGTAGGGGACTTTGGCAAGATTTCCAGTCCCTCAACTCTCAATATAACATTTTCTGACAGGCCCCAAGAGACAGAAGAGCTACAAGGGTAGGGTCAGAAGAAACCTCTGTTTTTGTTGTTGCTGTTTGTTTGTGATTTATGACTGCTGTTTATGTGGGGATTCGTTGTTGAAGTTACACTCAGGCTGAGAAGGCATGCGGCATAATCACAAAGGGGACACTGACGAGCTGTTTGCAGCTGCCCCCACCGTTGCCACGGTGCTAGACAGATGCAGGCATCCGTTCTCCCTTCGTGTGAGTGCCTCACCCAGTGGCCACAGAAGCACCCTCCCCTGACAGTGGGGTGGGGGAGCACATTCATAATTCTGCCCAGAGCTAAGGTGCAAGCCATTGTGTTTCTCACATTTACATGGTGCCTCCTCTCCTGGCTTCTAATCTAAAGCCATGTATAGGGTGTGCTCACTAAAACTCTTCTTATGCAATCCTCCGTCATCCCGGGAGCTAACACCACCACCACCATCCCTATCCCTGGAAGGATCCTGCAGGGATAGCAGTGCTGAACAGCTGTCCAGACGCCTTATATTTTGCAGAGGCACATGTGGAAGCCACATTGTATAGGGACTGTAAACTGGGCAGCCTTGCTGCTTACCATGAAGGGCAGGAACCCTTTAATCGCTGTGCCTGAAGCCAGCCTTATCCTTATATTTCAACACAGTGCCTAGTAAACTTACCTGGATTAATTTTTGCTTTGTTTGATTACTGGTTAGATTTATGCCAACTTAACGCAAGGTAGAGTCATTAGGGAAAGGGGAACCTCAGTTAACCAAATCCCTTCATAGGCCTGTATGCAAGCCTGTAGTGAATTTTCCTTTTTGTTTTTTGAGACCAGGTCTCTCTGCCTGACTATCCTAGAACTTGTTATGTAGACCAGGCTGGCCTTGAACTCACAGAGCTCTGCCTGCCTCTGCTTCTCAAGTGCCGACTTTAAAGGCGTGCACCACAATTAATGATTGATATGGGAGGGGTCCACAATTAATGATTGATATGGGAGGGCCCAACCCCACCCCCAGTGTGGTGAGGCCACACCTGGGTTCTGTAAGAAATCAGGCAGAGAAAACCATGAGGAGCAAGTCAGTGAGCATCACTCCGGCCACGGCCTCTGCATCCAGGTTCCTGCCTGGAGTTCCCACCCCCACTTCCTTGGATGATGGATGTCAAACTATGAGGTGAAATAAACCCACTCCCCAAGTTGCTTTCGGCATGATGTCTTATCACAGCAATAGAAATCCTAAGATTGTCTTGTTTTGTTTGAGATCTCACTGTTACAGTCCTGTGTATTGGTTTCTTTTCTTATTGCTATGACAAGATACCCTAGAAAATGGACTTAAAGAAGGAGGGACTTATAGAAAGCTATGGTGGTGAGGCTCCTGTGGGTCTGGAAGCAGAGAGAGATGAGTGCTGGTACTCACATTGACCATCCTTCTTTATTCTGGCACTGGGTGCTCCCATTAAGGCCGGGTGTTCTCTCCTCATTGACAATCTCTGGAAAAGCCCTCAAACACAGCCTAGGGGTGTGTCTCCTGGGTGCTTTTAAATCAAGTTGTCCCGGATGAACTGACACTATGTAGCCAGGCTGCCTCAGACTTGCTACATTCTTCCCAGGACTTAAACTCTCCAAGTGCTAGGATTATAGGTGATTAAAGGAGCAAATCTCTGCTTTGCTCCTCTGGGGAAACAAACTGCAAACGTTCACTGTGTTGGGGTCCCCTGCCCCACATGAACCCGCTTGGAGCCCTCCTCTACAAGCACCAGGCTCTACTGCCTCTGTCTTCAGTTGCCAGAAGACACACCCACCCTTTCCTTCTCTTCGCCCTGCTCCCCCTTAACTGCTAAACATCTAATCGCCAGTCGCCCCTTGTCAGGGGCATCTCGTTCTCTCTGGAGTCTGCATACTACTGCCCTCACGGGGATGAAGAAACTGTGCCTCTAACTCTATGCCCTCCTTTGCTCCTCCACTCTGCCTGGCACCATGGGCAAACCCCAGGGACCAAACCCCAGGGACAACCTCTGCTCCCTGGCTTTCGTGCCAGGGTCACCGCCTCTTCCTGCTGTTGGCAACCCCGTCCCTGTCCCCTTTGCAGTCTTATCAGAGTTGCTTCCTGTCCCATATCTGATGCTCTTCGGGAGACTGCATTCCCACTAGGGTGTTTTTGAGGGTTTTTTGGGGGGGGATGGGGGAGTGGGTTGTTTGCTTATTTGGTTGGTTGGTTTGGTTTTGGTTTTTTGAGACAGGGTTTCTCAGTGTAACAGCTGTGGCTATCCTGGAACTCGCTCTGTATACCAGACTGGCCTCAAACTCACAGAGATCTGCCCGCCTCTGTCTCCCATGTGCAGGGATTAAAGGTGTGCACCACAACTGCCCAGCCATCCCCAGTTTTCTCATATGAAGACCCAGAAATTAGATTTATGTTAGGCTTGTTAGTATTCAGGCATCTGTATTGGTCTGTCTTTGGGGTTCTGACAGGATACGCCCTCAGCTGCAGCCCCTAAGAGCACCTCCTGTGCACCTTCACTATGTTCCCTTTTAAAAGGGCCCTGCCCACCTCCCATCTCTCTCTCTCTCTCTCTCTCTCTCTCTCTCTCTCTCTCTCTCTCTCTCTCTCTCTCTCTCTCTTTCTCTCCCTCTGTCTGTCCCTCTCTATCTCTCCCCCTCTTTCCCTCTCCTCTCTCCTGCTGCTCCTGTCTCCAGAGGTCAGTCTTCCCCCGCTTCCCTTTCCCCTTTTTATGATCCCTTTCCCTAATGAAACAAAACAAAAAACCTCTGCTTGAACCCTGTAGCATGGTGTCTTTCTCTCGTGCACTGCTTTTCTTAAGTTACAACAAGGCTTATTAGAAAGTATTCCCAGGAAGGAAAAATGGAAGAAAAAGCAGAAGTTAGAGGAGGAGAGTAAACCAAGGTACTGAGATCTAAGACAACTCATACACAGTTGCCCTGGAGGCAGCAGGAGTGCCCCCTGGAATCGTCTCCATTGGAGCAGAGGACCTAGTATTCTGTCCCTGTACTTGTCTTGTTCAGAGGGAGAGAGTTTTCAGGACATTTCTGGGAACATGCTCAAGCAAATGAGGGCCCATGTTTGTGCCACAGTGTCACGGAATTAGTAAGGGAGCTGGTGTGGCACAGGCATTTGAGAGCTACAGAGGTACCATCCCTATCAAAGCTGGAGGCTCCCGCGACTCCGTTGCTGGCACAGCTGCCTCTTAGTCTGTTAGCCCCAAGGCGAATGCTGAGCTATCCACTGACATCACTTCCTGGCTCCCTTATGTCACACACACACTGGCTGTGCTAGCCCACCTGTGTCTGCTTACTCCTAAGGGCAGAACTCTGGTTCACGTGCTCTTCCAGGGTGGGAACCTTCTCCCTATCCCCTTCCCTCCTCTCCTGGGAACTCCCCCCTCCCACCCTACTTCACACCTTTCCTGGCAGCCCCATCCTCCCCTCCTCTCCCGTGACCCACCCCTAGCAACTGCCCATTTTGTCACAAAGTGTTTCATCAGTAGACTCTCTGTTTCCCTTGAGTCCACTACGTGTGTGTGACGCAACCCACAGTCTGTGAATTGTTTTTCTGTCTCTACCCTGCCTCTGCCTGCCCGCCCCCTCTCCTTCTTTGTAGTGCTGGGTTCAACCTCAGGGCCTTATCCGTGCTACGCAAACCTTCTTGCCTGTGCCATCCCTTGCCCTGTCTCAGTGCCACTGGGGAACTCTCTCTCTACAATGCTTCACAATTCTGCCATCTCCTCCCTTCAGATCTCCCAAGAGCTCCCTGTGGCCACCAGGAGGAACACGGGGCCCCTTCGGGGAAGCCCACAGGGCATCAGCTCTGCTCGCAGTCTCCTCACTTGCCGCCCTTGGTCCTATTCTAGCTACCGAGGTGTCTCCCAGACTATGCTGTGTGAGTCAGCTCAGGCCAGGGCGGGAAAACCAAAGCAGCAGCCTTGGCAGCAGAAAGTTGCTTTTTCACAGTAGAAGTCAGAATTCTAAGCTACAGGTGCCGACAGGTCCATTTCTCCTGAAGACCTTCTCCTTGGCTTGTCTGTGCTCCTGTGATGTTTTGTCCGCATGTGTGTGTGTCCCTGTCCTTTCTCTGCAGTCCAAATGTCTTCTCCGGAAGAGGGCATCAATCAGATTAGGACTCAAACTGGTAGCTGCACTCTGACCGCCTTAAAGAGTTCTGTTCTCCAAACATAGTCCCTTTCTCGGGTACTGGATGCTAAGGCTTCAGCATACACAACATGAGGCACACAATTCTACCCTCAGCCTCTGCCATCTGTCTAGCCAACTGCCCTGTCTTACCTCCCTGCCATCTTCCATATTGCCTCTATTTAGAATGCCCTTTCCTTGCTGCTTTATTCCCCATTATTATGACTCAGCACAGACACTCTTGCTTTCCAAAAAAAATATAATCCTTACCCTAATATAAACAGGTGTCCCTCCTCTCTACCTGTTACAGCCTCTTGTGATGACCCTACCCACAATCTTACATGTTATTTGATAATTATCTTTATGCAGAGGGTGAGCCATATAAATGGATAGCATTTTGTCATTTCTGACCTTCAAAAGCAGAAGTTGTCTACGCTCTGCCTTGGGGAACTCAGGACTGTCTGACTTGTGTCCCTTTACTTCAGTTCACGGAATTCAGTGAGTGGGTATTGTAGATCCCTAGGGCCTTTGTCACTTGTCTTGTGGGATAAATATGTATTACAAAGGAATAAGTGAATGCAGACTGTGTCCTCAAGAGTTACAGGCACTGAGAGCTCTTTCTGGGGAAGCATGTACAGGCTGAGCTGGGATGGCCGGACAGGAAGCATTGAGAATGGTGAGGGGTAGAGAGAGGAAATTCCAGGTGTGGAATGGTCATTTCTAAGAGAATGAATGGGCTTTCTGGATAGAGGGGCTAGTTCCATGAGGGATCTGGGAGGCTGAAGGTGCCCTGGTGAGGGCAGGCTAAGCAATGGCTCTACAAATGCCAAAGTCAGACATTCCCTGGGACAGTCTCCATAACGCTGAGCTATTTTAAGTTCCAAGAATGACATACTGAAAATGGAGTTTGGGGGAGATTACCCAGACATTGGGATAACACATGACCAAAGAGACAGAGTCTAGAGGCCAGATGGGATTCGGTGGACATTCCAGGAGTGAAGACTGAGCTTAGATTCATTGGTCCAAGGCTCTGGTTGAGTGACTCCCTAACTTACCACTCTTCAGAACTGCAGAGATGTCAACCCAGCTTCAAGGACGACTTCAGTGATGCAGTGAATACAATGTTCTCCCCTGATTTCATGTGATGACTGATCCTTTAAAGGGACCGCTTGAATTCCCAGGCTTCATGATGTCAGTTAGGACTTGCGTGAAAGATAACAGCTGCCATTCTTGGCCAGGATGTGACTGATCCTGACCCATCTAGAATGATACCATCTGCCAATGGAGGCCTGAGCTCTGCTCCAGAGCTTATCATGTCTTTGGGTCTCAACCGAGTATGGTGGCATAGGGTTTTCAGAAGGGCCGGAAGCCAGATTTCCTGAGTGTGAGTCTTGTCTTGTCACTTCTGTCTGCTCCGTAGACTTGAGGACTGCTTACCGCGCTAACCTCAGTCTACAGGCATACAGCAGGCTAATAGCTCTGTCCAGTTTCTCCTGTAGAAGTGAATGTGAGAAGGAAAGGCAGAAAATACATTCAAATCATTTACAACATGTAGATACTGGACTCCTGAAGCACCACCAGTGTGTTGGATGTGAGACAAACAGTGACGATGTCTTAGGTCCAAGTTAATGCTTAGTGTGTGTTAGGTGCCATCCCGCACGGCCATAGCACCTGGTACATGGTTGCCAAATGTGGCAGAAGCAGAGGATGTGGCACCTTCACCTCTGCCCCCACCTCCCCTGGGGCCATACAAGGGGTCTTGCTGCATGTTCCTCTGGAATGGCTTTCCTGGTAAGCAGAACTGGCTGAAATGTAAAACAGTAAAATTCCTAAGACTTAAGAGAACATTTTTTTAAGTGCAAGAATGTCTGGTTACAAAATAAAAATGCGAGGATTAAAGTGGGGAATCTGGAGTTGGAACTAAGATGTTCAAACCAACGGCCTGAGATATAAACAGAACTGGCAGCGTCTCTGAGACCTGTGGGAATCCTCCTGTCTTCCCAGAGCCCATGCTGATCTGACTTCTCAAGAGGACCACCCTGGTGTCGCCTCTGCTAGGCTCCATGGAGCTCTCTGGCCTACACGCCCAGTCTTTCCAGGATCCCGAGAAGGAAGGAGTTTCTACCCCTGAGCCTCTGACTACAGCTTTGACCTGTGCCTTTCCGGAGGATCCCTGCCCTGTTCCCGCCAACCTCAGGCCCTCTCCCCATCGCCACACCTGGTTTGCCACATTTGAACCTCATGTATGAGCAGGCCAGCTAGGCCTCTGAAAAATGTTAGGGCTGTCAGCTTGCCCGGAACAACTGTCTGCCCCTTCCCATTCCAGAGACTTGCTGTGTCTCCCAGCTGCCTACTCAAATTCCATTTCCTGTGGGAGGCACTCTCTCTACTGGCTCTCTTAAACAACAAAGGTGTAAGACATGCCATGCCTAATTGAACTCAACCCCATGTCTTCATTTTGGGGTGGGCACTCCCTGGTTACTCTTCACGGAGGATTTATGAAGGAGGAGCTAGAGCTCTGCCGGTCACTGGTTCTACAGCACCACGAGTGTTTTATTTTTGTGGTATCTTTTGCTATAGAGACCATCAAGAAGTAAGGCGGTCCAGGGTCACTGCCTAGTTAGCCATAGTTCTTCTCCCCTCCAAATGCAAGTTCATAATGCTATGTATTTAGGAACACACACACACACACACACACACACACACATGCCACCACTACCCCCCCCATCAACAACAACAAAGAAAAGAAGTCACGAGTTTGAAAGGGAGCAGGGGAAGGGTGATAAGGGAGGGTGTAGAGGGAAGAAAGGAAAAGGGGAGCATGACATCATTAAACTATAAGCTCAAAAAGTAAACTTTGATTTTAAAAGTTCATAATAGTCAAATCCCGGTGGTAAGATAAGCACTGCTAGTGTTTCCTTGTGAATAGTCAGGAAATAAATGTTACAAGTATGCATTCATATGGCTGCCTGTATAGCACTGATTCAGTATTATACTGTTAGCCCATGAGATGTTTCCCCAAAGTCATTCATGCATCAGTCTGCAGTGATTTGCTCGTTATTGACCCCCTCTTGAGGATCTCTCACGCTATGCTGCCGGTCAGAGCAGACTCGACACACAGTGAGTGCATCCTTGTTTGTTCTCAGCCATTCAGAAGAGACCTTAGCCGGCCAGTACTTTCTGGTGAACCCCTGGTTGACTTGGTTTCACAGAATGCATGCTTACTCCCCATGCCCCATTTCCTACCTTTCAGTCTGTATTTTGGTCAGTAATTTTGATCCAGAAACAGCTAACAAAAACTGTGCAAGTATTCCACCAGCCTGCTGCAAAGACATGGTGGAGGAGGACAGGGCCGCCACATTCTACAATCTAGTCTGACAGTCTCCCTTTGCCGCCTCCTTCAAGTCACTGACTGGGGAGTAAAAAGAGACAGAGGGAGGACTGGACTTGGGGTCGTCAGTGTGCCCAAGGTGTCAGCCAGGGCAGTAAGGCATACACGTGCATTAAGGGGCACCCAGGGTGAAAATGAAAGCTAAAGGAGAAAAGCTTAGACTTGTATAGGATATCATCCTCTGCAGAGGGAATCCTGAGGAATCATCCCAAGAGTATTAGAGAGAATGAGCAAACTCAGTATACGAGGAGGTGGTAGATGAAGGCACGAAGCTTGGTTGTTCCTGTATATTAGTTATGAGGGGTCTGAAGATAACACAAGAAAACAATAATGTATGATAACATCAAAGAGGTAGGTTTAGGAATAAATTTGACAAAAGAACCACAGAACCCGAGAACCAGAAACTACAGTGCGCCGTGGAAGAAACGAAGGGCCAGAATATATGGAAATGGCTCGTCTGAGAAACGTCTCGGAACAGCTGCACCGCCCGGGCTTACCTGACCTGTGGACCCAGCATGGGCTTCTCAAAATCTTGGCTGTCTCCTTGTAAATATAAACAAGGCGACCGTAAACTTCACGTGGAAGTACCTGGGGACCCTGGAGAACCAGAACAACCCCGAAGAGGGCGACAGAGTTGGAGAATTTATGCTTCTTGGTTTCAGAACTTGCTACAAAGACCCAGTAATTAAAACTGTATGGTGCTGTCAAGAGATGGACATGTAGAGCAAGGGATGTTTGAATGATGGCTGGTTGGCATGGAGACACCAGCGTTTTCCGTGAGTGGTGGTGCCCTGGCAATGCCTGTCCGAGTGCAAAGGAATGTAACCCACCTTACTATTCAAACCACTCACAACAGGAAGTGCTAAGGCTTCAAAACTATCAGGAAAAAAAATGCAACTATGAATGTTCGTTACCTTGTACTAAGTGGTAGTTAGGAAATGAAAGTAGCCAAAAGAGAGAAAACTGGTAAATTGAACTTAACAAGGTTAAAAGCCCCCATTTCAAAGGATTCCCTCAGGAGAGTTAGAGTTGGGGGCTGTGCTGTGTCTCAGTGGTAGAGACTTGCTTAGTCTGCACAAGACCCAGGCTCAGCCCCAGCAAGCAGAGGAGGAGACAGGATTGACAAATCACATACTCAGTGAGAGGATGGAAACACGCAACTGAGTATTAAAGAAAAAAGACCCAGCCCAACTGAAAAATGGGGGAATGTTTCTCCAAAGAGTATATTCAGCTGACAAATCACACAAAAGATGCTTGCTATACTTATTAAGCCATCAGACAAATCAAGTCAGCACCAGAAGGCAGTATCATTCCACACTCACTGAGACTGCTATAGAAGACAGACAGGATAACAAGTATTCACGAGGATTTGGAGAACTGGAACCCACCCCACAGTGTGAAGATGACAGGACAACTCCTAGGGAGGAGGAAGGGCTTGTGTGACCCTGCAGTTCTACTCTTGGGTGTAAACCTAAGAGGAAACCACACAGTAAGGTTTATAAGCAAAAGCTTGTGCACAAATGTTTATGGCAGCTGCTCTACTTTCCTTCCTTGATGCTTTGGCAAAATACTCTTGAGATAGGGTCACTCTGTGTAGCCCTGGCTGTCCTGGAACAGGCCCTGTAGACCAGGCTGGCCCCGAACTCAGAGATCCGCCTGCCTCTGCCTCCTTAGTGCTGGGATTAAAGGTGCGCACCACCACCAGCCAGCAGCGAAATACTCTTGACAAAGGCAACTTAAGGTCGAATGGGTCTGTTCTCACTCGGGACCTGAGTACAGTCTGTCAGGGCTGGGAAGTTAAAGCAGCGGGAACTGGAAGCCCCTGGCTACACCATAATCCACAATCTGGAATCAGAAGGTGGTGACCACTGTTGGGTGCTCCCTCCTCTGGTTCTACAGTACCACATCCCAGCCAGAGGCCCTTCTCCCTGGGCATTACAGAGTCAGAACCATTTTGCAGAGGCTTCAAAGAATTCAGAGCATGGGGGGACACACGACCATCCGCATTGGTTGCACTGGGAGCTCTTGTCTTGTGGCTAGTGACGCTTTGGTGGGCTAAGGCAGTCTATCTGGCTGGACCTCAGTCCCCATAAGGTGTCCATGTGCCTCTCTGTCCTGCTTTCTGGACTACAGTTTTGGCATACACATTCAAGACCAATGAAATGGCTGATGATGCATAGCTTCCAGGTAGCCATGCAAAGAAAATAAAAACACAAAATGAGAATAGTAACCAGCACCATCACCCCTAAACATCCTGGCCTCTGGCCAAGACAGACTTTTAGATAAACAGAATGTGTTAGATTCATGAAGTGGATCATTAGTCAACAATAAGAAGGAATGAGGTATCGACACCTGCTAGAGCATGTCACATGAACCTTTATAACAGTACGCTGTGAAGGAAACAGACATAAAAGCCTGCCTGCGTGCGTGTGTGTGTGTGTGTGTGTGCGTGCGTGCGTGCGTGTGTGTGTGTGTGTGTGTGTGTGCGCGCGCGCGTTTGTGTGAGTCCCTTTGTGTGAACTGTCTAAGCAAATCTACAGACGTACATAGACTAATGACATCAAAGGTTGAGTTATTGAAAAGGAATTGTCATTAACTATAGGTTTCCTTTCTGGAGTGATGAAGAATACTCTAGAATTACATACTGGTGGTGGTTACGCTACCATATGAATATGCTAAAAGCTACTTGATATGCCTTTTGTTTTAAGACTTATTTATTCATTCATTCATTATTGTTCATTCATTCATTCATTGTATTGTGGGGGTGCGGATGCATGGGTATAGAGTCCAGAAGAAGCCACCGTTTGTCCTTTATCATGCCCCCAAATATTTCTTGGTGGCAGAGCCTCTCCCTGCACGTGGAGTTCATGTTTTCTGGTTTTCTCAGCTAGGCTGGAAGCCAACATGCCCCAGTAATCCTCCTGCCTCAGTTCTCCTCAGAGCTGGGATTACAAGCATGTAGAGAGGCCAGGCTTGATATGTGGCTGCTGGGATCTAGACTCCAGTTCTCCTGAGTGCACAAGCGCTCTTCGCTGCCGGGCCATCTCTCTAGCTCCTGGGTTTTTGGTTTTGAGATAGGACTTCACTCTGTTGTTCAGGTGGCATGGAATTCATTCTGCAGCCCAGGATTACCTCAGACTTGCAGAAGTCCTCTTGCCTCAGTTTCCCCCACTATATCCAGCACGAACTGCACTTTTTTTTTAATGGTAACCTTTGTTAGTCTAGAAACTTTTAAGGATTAATGGAAGCCAAGGAACATTCTTTACTTGCATAACAACCCTGGATGCCAGTTGAGTTAACCAGTGATTGTCTGAGGAGGAGATAGAAAATGAAATCAGGGCAGGAAGCACTGGGTGACCTTGGGCCTGGATGAGACCCAGGGGCCATTTCTGGTATTGGGTGCTCAGAATCTCTGCAGGGATCACTGGAATGAAAGCTGTCACTCCTGTGTGATAAAGCACAGTGCGTCTTCTCATTTCCCTCTGAATGTAACCCTGGCTGTTTTCCCAATTATTAATGCTCAACAGCCCTTTTGAAAAGCTGTGCATGTGCTACAGTATGTCTTGCCACTGGCCCCGAGCATGCGTCAATCATTGGGTGTTTTGGTAATTTCTCTCCCTGGCGGTGCTGTGTCAAGGGTCTTAGCACCGGATGTTTGTGGATAGCATGAGATGTTGATCATAGTCGGGCGCATAGCTCCCAGCCACTGGTCCTGCAGTGTGTGCCAGGCTGAAAATGAGGTGTTCCCCACATCCCTACCTCCTGTACCTCATGCTGAGGGTGCACCGCCCCTCCACCTCCGCCCCTCCACCTCCGGGCCATCTGCTCTTCCTCAAGTCAGGCTGGGGCCTTCCTGTCCTTCCTCTGACCTCATGTTGATCTCTGTGTGCTGCTGGAGTTCAAGCCCTGTTCCTACCCTCCAAAAACAGGGGTCAAACAGATATGATGGTCTGGTGGTCTGAGTAGGATATGGTGCTCACTCTCTCCCACACAGATACACATTAATAACAAAACATTTTTTAAATTATAAAAATTAGAGAAGGCAGAAAACAAAAATGGAAGACTGTTTTGTTCAGCATGGAAAACAGATGACTGACGCGGTCCCCGGCCTGGCCAGGTCGGCTAGACTGACCGACTGGGGCATCCCGGGGATCCACCTTTCTCCACTTCCGCAGCACTGGCGTTGTGAGGAAGCACCACCACACTGGGGTTTCCCCTGTGAGTTCTGAGGCTTGAACTCAGGTCCTCATGTATGCAAGGCCAAGCACTGTACCAAGTGGACAATCTTTCCAGCCCTGTTTTTATTTTTTGGAAGAATTTTAGACTTAAGTTTCCTGTGTCCCTACGCCCCAGCCTGCCGCAGTGATGCGCTCGATGGCAGCCACACCTTTCTGAGGTTTGGCTTGTCTGAGGAAGGTCCAGCCAATATTCTCTGTGTGGATCAGAATGTGTCCTCATAACAAGAGAAGCTTGGTACAGGAGGAGCTGTGGCTCAGCTGTCCTGGATCCTGTAGCTCCCTGAGGTGCCAGAGTCCCTGTGGTCCCCTTTGCCTGTGTGTCTTGGGCATGTATGGTGTGCATGGTGTCGGTACATTAGCAGATGCGCAGGCACCTGACCACATGTCTGCAGCTGTCTTCTCTGACCTCTGCGCCTTATGCATCCAGGCAGGATCTCCCTGTTCTGGCCAGTCTCTCCAGCATGCCCTCCGTCTCCACCTCCTACCCGGCACTTGTGTGGGCACCGGGGTTCAGCCCATGCTCATGGCGAGCCGTCTCAATAGTCACTCTCTCTTGGTTTTGCTGGCGACGGAGCTCTGCTTCATGGGTCTGTGCATGTCAGAGGCGGTGTTCCTGGCCAAACGCTTAACCTGCGTGTAATCCCCTGTTGGTTTTCGTGGTGCCTGTGGAGTTCAGATGGTACCTGAGGCCAGTTTCATTCTTGGACGGACTTTCACTTCCTCGTTGTCAGGGTGTAAATGAAGGTCTGCTCTTCGTTGTGGTGGCTGCCGTTGACAAAGAGACAGGGGCCAGCGAGCACACAGAGGCAACTGGCAGCCGGTACCCACAAGCAGAAGACGGCATGCTGGTAGATGATCTACATGAGCTGGGCAGGGCAGACAGAGCCAGACACCTAACTGTCTGAGCACCTCACAGAGGCAGTTGGGCCACTTTCACCCTTGGTCACAACCTGGAAGAACCAGGCCTCTCCTAAGGTGCCCCCTTCTAAATGGTATCCCTGTGCGTCAGATACCACTGTCATTCAGGAAACAGCCAGATGGCTTCTGCGAGAGTGCAGGAGACGCAGGGCAGAGGTAAGGAAGGTCATGTTCACCTCAGCTGCCGTATTTGGTGCCAGGTACAACAGAAACCAGGAGGAGCATTTGAGCCTGGACGACCTTGGTAACTTGATCACCCGCATTCCATGCAAGTCGGGTAAGGAGTGAGCACTTGCTCTTACATAGTGGTTTCAGTTGTGTGAGCTTCACCGTAGACTCGCAGTGAGGAAACAAAGCTTCCAGGAAGGAAAATGGTGGGTCTCTGGGTCTCCCCCGAGGGTTTTGCAGAGCTGGGTGGGGACCTGACCCTCAAGGAAGCCCTGCAGTGCAGCCTGTGCCTGGGTTCTGACGGGCTGCTGACCAGCTTTGAGTTCCTCTCTGGGCATCTGTTTCTCCAGCTCTACTGGGCATCCCTACAACCAGGCCCTTGTGAGGGAAGAGCACATGCCTGCATGGCAGAGTGGACGGCACACACAGCCTGGCCCTCACCCAGGCCGCGCTGCTGGTAGCACCGTGCCAGCTTCCCGCCCATCACCTGTGAGTCTGAGTGCGGGCGATGGACTGTAAAGGAAGGTGGCCTCAACAGGTGGTGCTTATGTCTCTCTCACAAGCAGCAGCCAGAAGGCAGATAGTCAGGGCTACCATGCGGGCAGAGTTTTGCCTTGGTTTATTCCCTGCTAGTCTCTGGGTGCACTGGCTCACTGTCTCCCGGTTGTGAGGTGGCTCATACAGTTCCCGCTGCCATCTGCAAGAGGAGAGTAAGCGGGTGGAAATGCAGCAGTCGTCACAGCTTTCGGCTGCTGCAAGAGAAGCAAAAGCTCCCCCACCCCGGCTCTTCCCCCAGCCGCTGTCCTCATCTCATGCCCCAGTCCTGTGTTTATGCACAAAAGCAGCAAACACCTTTGTACACTCCTGTCCCCTGATCTGAGGGGGAAAGTGGGTACTGTTTTATCTGCAACTCTTTTTTTCCCTTTTAGGGTTTCGTTTATTTGGTTGGGGTTTGCTGAAATAGAACCTCACTTTGTAGCTCTGACTGGCCTCAGACTTTTCCTCTTTTCCCGCCGCAGCCTCTAAGGTATCGGGATTTCAGACATTCATCCAAATGCTCAGCTTCTCCTCAGCTTTAAATAGAAATAAAACACATGCAATAGAATGCACCCATCTTTGCTAGATCACTCAGGCGAGTTGTACTCTTTAGCCACACAGAAACAGTCTGTGATCATCTCAGAAACCTTCCTTTTAGCCTCGTTCACCCTCCCTAAGGCTCCTGCTATTCCCATCTGTAGCCAGAGCTCCTTGTTGCTGGGTTCTAGACTTCTGAGAAGCAGTGGGAAGGTGCATCTGTATGTGCTCCTGGTGGGTGTGAGCGTCCTCTGTGTGACTGTGAGGGGCAGACCTGGATTGGTTCCTGCTTTTGCTGTGCTTGCATCTGCACAGAGCTGGCTCTGTGAACACGTGGCAGGTGTCCCCGAGACAGCTCATGGTCTCTGCTGGGGTGTCTTTCCTCAGGAAAACCTCCTCCCGACTCTGGCAGAGCTTGCCCATGCCCTGCTTGCCCTAGCTCTCTGTCTACTTTAACAGGGACCTCTGAGGACCTGTGTGCCTGATGGGAATGCTGTCAGCATGAAAGGGCTTCCTAAATAACCATCCGTTTGGAGAGGGGGGAAGAAGAGATTTTCAGAGAGGGCTTTATGGAAGGACATTTTTAGCCAAAGGGAAAAACAGGAGCTGGAAGCCAGCCTATGAATAGAGGTCTGCATCACCTTGTCTCCTCCCCCTCAGTGGCCTCAGTCCCAAGCTCAAGACCATACTGAAGGCGGGTCTTAAATGAGTCCACCAGACCCAAGATGAATGAGAAATAGGTGTTTATTAGGGAAGCACTTACACAGATAGGAGTAAGTAGCTGCCGCGCTCTTCCTGCTCCAGAAGATGCAGTCTCTGCCCTTCCGATGCTCTCGGCAGCCCAAGAAATCCAGCCCCTCCTCTACCTTATATAAGAGGGGCCGCATCTGCACCTGAAACCATGCCAAAAGGGCGTGGCTACCACCACAAGTTCACTGGCAAGGCAAGATGCCACTACACCATATGAACCTTGAAGTTAGCCTTCTCCACAGGGCCTGGGCAGCCCAAT